AATTTTCTAAAATTCTGAATTCTAGGGGTGAATGTGGGGGTGAGGGTGAGGATGAGTGTGAATAAGCAACTTTACATGTATGTAAAGTTCAGAATTCTAGAATTCTTAATTCTACAGATAATAGCAACGTATGAACTTTACATTTTGTAATTGTAATCGCGCAGCCCTCGGATATATCGACATTTACGCGAACCCACATTACCGCGACAACAGATCCGCTACGACTATTCCACACATTTTTTAAAATAGATTTTAAAGAAACTAAACTTGAAAAAACTAACGAAACAGCTGATGTTACTCATGAATCTACTCGTTCTTGAACTTCGTTTTCATTACATTCTATTTTTATTTATGGCAGTCACAACCATCGGATATACGACTATATAGAATGATAGATTCTGCCTATAGCGTAAAAGAGAACAACGATTTAAGAATTCCCAAGATCTTGGTACGAGAAGTCAAGAAACTACAAGATGTTCAAGATCTTCAACCAAGATCTTGCTGAAAAAGTTTAAGAAGTCAAAATCTTGACTACGAGAAGTTTCACTAGAGTGGTGACCAGTTAATTAGCTGCGGTCTATTCATCGCACCGTCAATTAGTTTCACAGACAATATATTCATCGTATAATTTCCTCTTTTGATTTTGTGTGAATGTACAAAGTCTTCGAAGCAAATAAAACAAATGTTCGTTTAAAAACAGATTCAAATGCAACAAGAGCTCTCCGCATAGAAGGACTCAACGCGTCAGGAAGACGAAATGTTCTGCTTTTCTAGGTAAAAAGGAGTAGAATGACAAACACCCTATATATAGGGTGTTTGTCATTCTACTATTCAAAAAGTATCAAAGGAACCTCTAGAATCTTATAGCTATAAGATTCCAGAGGTTCCTTTGATACTTTTTGAACAAAAAGCGAATCCCTCTTATTGACTTTATTTATTCCACCAAACAAAACCAATTTTTTAACTGTATGTGCAAAAAATGAGAACAAAAATATTTAATCGACCCTGGCAGGGATCGAACCTGCAATCTCCTGATTCGAAGTCAGACGCCTTATCCGTTAGGCCACAGGGCCACAGTACTCATATCGTAATTTCAGCATAAAAATCATTTGAATACAAACAGGGTATTGAAAGTACAAGCGCAAATAGATCCTGACTGAAGTATTGTAGCTATAACTACAATTATGAAATAAATATTCAGTATAGACCAAATACATCCTGTACCCTAAAGCCATCATCTTATCTAAAATAATCTTTTCTAGTTTCGCACCTATATATCATAAAAACATTTGTTTGACTCAACATATACTATGAGCCCTGCTGTCTTGTATCATGAGCAGAGTCCAGAAAGAAGTAAACTTGGGCTGTTACTTCAGTCAAGGCCAGTTCAAAAAATTACGACAAATAACAACCTTCATGAAAAATAGAATTATGATTGCCAATTGTTTATACTTGCCCATTTTTACGTCGTCTGAATGCTATAATTACGACCGTAAAATGACTCCCACATTTGATTCAGCAGATGGTATCATTTTACGGTCGTAATTATATCATTCGAATGAGATAAAAATGACTAATATATGTTTCAGAAATGAGCTAGAAATGATCATCGAAAAACGAGCGTTTATCCACGATCCAATTAATGATCTAAAAATGGCTCATTAATGTTTGCAAACACAAAATTACGATAGATAGCAACCTTCATAGAAAGTAGAATCATGATTGCCTTCGATATTTTCTTTAATGCAGAAAGACAGAAGAAGTCAATATAGATGAATAAGTATATAAATGAATCCAAATTCAAGGCAATCATGATTCTACTTTCCAGAAACTCTAAAAAGTAACCCAAACCTTTCTTAGTGAGGCATGCTTGTAGCCAGCAAACTTCGGTTAAAGTGAGACATCTGTCAGGGCGGACTGCAATCATGCTTCATCAAGAAAAGTTTGAGTTACGTTTTAGGGTTCCTGAAAAACTGGTTTTCCAGAAAAAGTGTCTCTGAAGGCCTAATGGCAGCTGAAATAGTAATATTTGGAATCAGCGTGATCTACTACCTATAATCCACTAGGTTCGATGGGAAACGCGATGTGACAGTTGGGGACCTTCCTTCGTGAGCACATCATGAAATCTCTTTGGTAATAGCTGATGTTCGGTTTTTCGGTTTCGATTTAACCGAAACATTGTTTAACCGAACCGATAATTGTGATGCATATATGCAGTAGCAATTATAGGTCAAAAACAGTTTAAGGTACAACTTCAAGTACTTTTTGTTTGCTTTATAATGAGTTATAATTACTACCTTTGAAATAAAAACACACACACTTCAAAGGAATCCATGATTTGATTGAAAAAACGATGTTGTATATATAAGGCAACTATGGAGAACAGAAATGAAAGTCTTAAACAAAACTCTGAATACATTACAATTGTATACCCATAACATAGAAATAAGACAGTGAAAAAGAAAAAATTAGTCAATATTCTCACAGCATTTTGTATATAAAATCGACGAAGCAGTCATAGTGAACGCCACACTCAAAAACATAGTTCAGTTGGTAGCACAAGCCATTTACCAAAATGAAAAATATCATATCCGTTCGAAGTACACAGAAGAATATTCATCAGTGCGCTTAAACCTTTTAGACGTACATATTTTCTCCTAGCTATAAACAAAATCATAGTCTAATCTTCGAACTGCATTCATATCCTCGATTTTTTTCTTTTAGTTACAGATTGCAATATTCCATTTCTGCTGTAATAATAATCCCCTCACCCCCCTTAAACCAAATAAATAAACGACAAAAATTATTTTTATCTAATAAACATATTTACGCAAAACAAACGTTTGTGATGTCAAACATCACAATTCTATCTCAATATTAATAGTGTACTGTATCAGTCATATGCAACACTCGTCTACATTTCAATGCTCTCAGCTTAAAAGTGATAACGTACATTTTAACGCCTAAAGTGAAACTTTTTATGTGTGATTGATCTATTATTCGTTTTAAAATACAACGGAATAATTCATTTTTTTAATAACTTTTATGTTTTCAGATAAAATTTTCTTATCGGCACAAAATTTAAAAGATTAACACCTGCTCAATCGCAACTTCGATCTTCTGTTTTCTACAAACATCTATCGATTTGTGTAAGCCTATGCTCATCAAGTCCACTGGTAAAAGTATAGTATTTAAACATATATCCTGAAAATTTTACTTATTTTGGACAAGAAATGAATGAGTTATGAAGATTTTAATTTTGCATGATCATAAGAGAAAGTCGAGATCTTTTAAAAAAGGCTCGGCTGTAGTTCCAGTGATCTGAGAAAGAAAATAAACATTGCCACGATTATTAGTGCGTCCAATAGCGTATGTGTCATGTATTTTTGAGTGTCCCACACCTGCCTACTGGCTGATAGATATGCCGTCGGAGAATGTCTATGTCTCCCTGATCATAACAGCTAGAGATTCGGGACTTGTGTCGAATCGTATAGGGTAGTCTGGTGGTTTGAGCTGCCTTATGCTAGCTACCGATGTGTATCCACTTGTGTGAGAAGATCATTATAATGTCATTTATTGATGAAAATACAAAAAGAAAATTAAAGTTTACAATTGTAACATATCGTATATTTTATCCTGGTTCTCTCGTATGACAGAGCATCGCTGTACATGTAACTTGTTTATAAGCACAGCCACAATAATTGCAATCGTCCATAAATATTTGACCATTCATATAATATTGTCCATTAAATTCACAATCTTCTTTTGATACTGATGTTGATAATTCCGGCCCATAAATTTTATCTAAAGATTCAATACTGTTATGCCGTGATGCAACAATTGTTAATGTTGTTAATACTGTAATTAAATAAAATAAAATACACACAAACGGTTTGTTATTTTTGTTCATGGTGCAGGAATGGAGAATACACGAAATACATTTCTTTCGAATAGAATCGAATCGAAATTAGAAGATTTGACAGACAATAAAAATGAATTGACTGTGTTATTTGAATATGCGCTTTTATCGACAATTCAGCTACGAGAAACTGATTTTAAAGAAAATTTATCAAACTGTCATTTTTTCTTCTTAAGAATGCTAGAATACGGATATGGCGTGCGCATGTGTGTAGATCTTTTCTTTTTTTAAGATTAAAAACAATCGTTTCTTTTTATCCATCGTAAATATCTCATTAATAATGTTGAGAGTAATAATCTTATACTATTTATCATATCTTATCGTCTATTTGTCTAGAATACGTAAATGTTAAATCACGAGGTCCAATGATGATGAGCCACCCAACAATAATTTATTACAAAACATTTGCAATACGGCAAGCTCATTTCACGTCATTTCAAGATCTCCCATGAAATTCCTATGAGATTTGTAAGAATTACTGTGACAATGAAATGTTCATGATTCGCATCGCTGACTGCTTTTTTTGAATAAGAAAGTTCTAATAAATCAATACTCTGAGGGTTAGAAAAGGTGTTTTCATGTAATTTATATGTTCTCAGAATTCTTGGAGTTAATGAGATTTAGTGGTGTGGTGGAAATTTTGAAAATTCCTCAATAATCCTTTCGTATCTCAAAGTTTCTAGAATTTTAAAAGTGGGGGTATCTCCAAGAATGTAAAGATTTTCAGTTGTTGTTCTGTTCTAAACACAAAACTTATGCAAATCAACACTTTCTTTTTTACGATAATCCTTTGCATCTTGAAATACACGATCTTTGGCTATTTTGATTGAAAACTGTTTGTCAACGTGTGAAACTAATGTAGCCTCGATCTCTAATTTCTCTTTACCAAATTTTAGGGCTAAAATAAGAGTTTTCTCTTGAAAACGTTCTGGTTAGGTTTACTGAGTTCTGTCGTCTGCGAATGCTCTCTTATTTTGTTTGTTTTTAGTTATACAGGTATCACTAAGGCTTCTGTTTATCAGATGTTATAAGTTACTAAACGTTTACTTTCTTTTGTGATGTCCTTGCTTATGCAAAATAAATTTGAACTCTGAACTCTGTCTGCTTGTGCGTGAAACAGAAAAAGGTCAGAGCGTATATAAAGCCATTATTATTGCACTTTCTCATTGAAATAGGCGTAGAAACGTACAACAATTTGTGTATTTGTAATTTTGCCTATATTCGTTGATCATTGCTGGAGAAGCGAACGCTAAAAGGTGTATCTGGCTGTAGGAAAAAAGTGAATCTTCCTCGATAACTGGTACCAAAAACCACAAATAGTATTTGTGCTGTATCATTTTTTATTGTTAAAATATGTTTTTTGGCATTAACTGGTGTAAAGTATATTAATGCTGTAGATGAAGCTTCTGTTGATGGACCTAAATAAAATATATATAAACATAAATATAAACGTAAACATAAATAATTCATTTGTCAATTAATATTACCATTAAAAAATAAGATTTTTTGTTGAAAATGGATTTTTTTAATATATCTTTTTATGGTTTCTATTTTCCTTTTATAACTAAATTATTTAAGATAATAAATTTGAATAAAAAATACGTTACAGACTCATATGTTTGTATTATAAAAACTTACTAGTAAGAGATGATTGTTCTTTTTTTTCATCTTCATCACCACTGTCTGCTTGTTCTAATGTATCGTATTCGTATGTGCTTGATCCACCTGTAAGTTGCCTTAATTTAGTAACACAGAAATGTCTTTAGTCCTATAAAGTAAAACAAACACTATTCAAAGACAAAAAAAAAGTTGAAAAAATCTTGTCTATCCATACTCATGGTGTCTAATTGTCTAGAAAATGTACGTCTGCGATAACTGTATACAATATGATTATGTTTTTCAACCAATTCGCAGCTGTCCAAACGTATATTGAAGTGATTGTGAATCCAAAAATACGGCATGAGTTGCTGTCGTTGTTCGTTTAATACCACGTAACATAATTTGTGTTTGTGAGTCATTTAGAGAACGAGCAGTCAACTTTTAGATTTAAAAATGGAAATATAAGGAAATGAATAAATCACAAATCAAATTGAGCAGAAAGAAGCAGGTTCTGAAATAACTTCGGGAGTATTGAACTTCCTTCTGAAAAGAATGCATCTGCGTATAATACGTCAAGAAAGTACTTTTTTTTCTTCACGACAAGCGGTAAAAAATCAATTTTTACCATCAAGCAGATATTAAACATATATGACAATGATATCTGTCTTGTGTGTCTATACAACAATGAATTAAATTTAACAAGATTATGATTTAATCTGCAATACAATATATTTTTAACTACTGTTTGCTGAAATAATGTATTAAATGTTGTTTTAAAATCATTCATATATGTAGTTTATATATTTTTATTAATATATGACGTGTCATGAATTTTCGACTGTGTAAATATGTCTTCTAATGATAATGGTTGTTGTTCGTTGTATGATAAATCATGAAGTAAATAACGGGTACGGCAGAGGAAATTGCCGGTTTTTGATAGGCTTTTTTCTCAAATTAGACTCGACCAGAAGGTTTGGTTCTGATGCTAAAAGATAGAGAATTTTGTGTAGATTTTATTGATATGTTCT